TTCTTTTGAAAACACACGATTAGGGATGTTACGTGTCAAGAATCCCGGAGGATTCAAACAACAATAGCTGGTCAGAGTTCGCCCCATAGTCAGTCGAATGCTCAAAATTAGTAAGTTTTGTTCTATTCTGTTTTGATCCTGTTCAGTATGCTCCTGTTTAAATCTGTTTGGATAATCTTTAATTCTTTAGGGCACTTTTGATTTCAATTTTTTTCTTCAGTATTTGATTCTTTACTGTTATTATTGGTTAGTGATAATTAATTAGTTTAGTTTAGTTTAATTCAATAATTGCATTAGTAATTCCATGTTCAGGATCTAGCTTAAGTTTTGTTCTTCATGTCAATACTGTTCCCAGTATTCATATACGTTTTAAGTGGTATGATTTTAGGTTCAGTTAGTCGACTCATAATTGTTTACTGCAATTTGATTTTAATTGTTCCAACCTCTCGATTAGCTAATTTGTCTAGTTTGATTAGCCCTAGAAATAGATTATTTGGTTATAGCTGATGGACTAGTTTAACTTGGTCAGTAATTTAAGGGGATGCTAAGGGTAATTTAGGCATGGAAAAGGGTAGTTTAATCAGATTTGGTAATTGTTGAAGTAAAATAAGGGTAGAATAGGAATTGTAATGGGCATAGAACCTTCTAGGATGGACTATAGTGCAGATTTCAGTAAACTTAGGGTAGTTACTTGTGTGACAAGTCAGAAAATAAAGGATAAAAAATAGAATTAAAACAGGGACTAATGGGTAAAGGAAAAATCTGAAATTGGACCCTAAGTTCACCTATAAATAGGCATTCATTTGCCTTGATCCACAAGTTTGGGAGCCCTCAAATTCCCCCAAAAAGTTCCCCAAATGTTGATGAGCTGAAATTCAAAAATTCATAGTCTTCACATTCTCTTAGATCTTAGATCTTTAGAAAAATAAAAAAGGGTATAGAAACGACAGAAAAATACAAAAAAAAAAACTCTGTTCTATTGATCTGTTAGGCTACTTTCGAGTTCGGTTGATCGCAAGCATCTTCTAGCTTCAATTTGGGCACTGGTTGGTTTCTGGAAACTCCTGGTGGTTTTTGAGGGGTTTTTGGTTGTATGAAACTGGATTTTGGTTGTTTTCATTAGTGTTGTTCTTCTTCTGTTCATCACTGGGTGGTTGTGTTGTTGGAGTTAGAAATTGATCAGTTGTTTTCTGGACTTTGACTGCTGATCTGCTGTTACATTTATCACTGTTGCTGACCTATACTTCTTCTTCGTCTTGTTGTTCTAAATATCAGGTACATATTCTGAACCTCAACCTCATGTAGAGTCTCAGTCGAAATGAAATAAAAAGAAGCACAAATTCATTGGAAGCCTCAGTTGTTGCAACAGTTTTATTTTAGTTTGTTTGAACTGTATTAGATTGGGAACTGTTTGACTGGATTTATTCCTGCTCCTTTGAACTGTTTGAATGTAATAACTAGACTGAATAAATCACTACTACTCTAAAGGTGTAACAAGTTGAGTACGAGTTGTAACTTATTTCATGATCAGACAGGTGAAATAGCTTGTGTTGGCTTTAGTTGATTTCCTATCAATTATTTCGCAACTTTCACTTAAAAACTCAGAAGCATGCTAGAGCCTTAGTAGTTGTTCTCATTTTCGGTTTGCAATTAATGATACTTGACTGAACTGTTGTAGATCGAGTTGAGTTTCAGTAGGACTAAGGTCTCGAATTCAGAGATAGTTGATTATTTGAGTTTGTATATTATTTAGGTAAGAGGTACAACATGAGTATTGTAACTATAGGCATAAGTTTGTTAGTTTGAATGTGGGAGTTGAATTTGAATTTTAGCACGTTTGTTTACCTGTTGAAATCAATATTGCGTAAGTGTCTTCTTGGACAGTTTTGAGCGTCAATTAGCAGAACATAAGCGTTAACTGGACAATTCAAAATGGTTGTAGTATATTGATTGATTAAATTCAACTTTAGTCCTATAGCCAATATTACATCCTGCTTCAATTCACCCTGTGAATCTGGGCTCAAGCGTGAAGCCCAGACAGCTCTTGTCCAAACTAAACTTGAATAATGCCTCTTGGGCCTGGTTTCCTCAGCAATAGGCCCAAGCTGTCCAATCCTTTATGTTTTGAACAAATTGATAGGCATGCTTCATTCTTCACTTCATAAGTTACTGAGCTTGAATTAATTTGAAAGCGAATCATAGGGTTTGGTTTTTTTTTTATCGATATTAAATTATTAGGCTTATTTTTCTTTTATTATTAGAGACAAAGAAAAATAGAAAGTCATAGTTACTTTAGGTTTGCCCTCTAATTAATAAAAGGAGATGAGCCTCGCTACAAAAGAAAATATAAATTGCGGGGCTCTCAATAGATGTTATAAAATACTTAGAATTCGGGTGAACCGCTTAGCGAATTTCACGGTTTTCCCCAAAGATAATAAAAGCGTAGTTGCTTTAGGCGCGTATTTTAATAATATTACCTTCCTTAATGCGGGTGAACATTTATGTGACCCAAATCTAAATCTCAACGGAGTCGGAATGCGTCAAAAGCCACGGGCGCACTGGTGTGACGTGGTTCGAGACATATTTTCACGACGTTGCAATTCTTATTAAAAAGACATAAAATAAAAGCGGTTAAAATAAAAGGCACATAGGTTAGTATATGTTTAAAAAAAAATCAGATAAAAGCAAATACAACAGTTGAGCGACCGTGCTAGAACCACGGAATCCGAGAATGCCTAACACCTTCTCCTGGGTTAACAGAATTCCTTACTCGGAGTTATGGTTCGCGGACTGTTAACAGAGTCATAATTTCCTCGGATCGGGATTTAACCGGTGACTTGGGACACCATTAATCTCCCAAGTGGCGACTCTGATTTTTAATTAAATAATCCCGTTTCGATTGTCACTTCAAGTTGGAAATAACTCCCTTATTATTATTGTATCCCTTCACGGGGTGTAGTAGGTCAAAAGGAGGTGTGACACCTACTGAGTGCAAGTGCCGAGTGCCGAGTGATAGGGAGGACTGAGTGACTGTGAGGGCTGAGTGACTGTGAGGACTGAGTGATTGTGAGGACTGAGTGAATTGATACTCTGAGAGTATGCATATGGTTTTATTACTGAGTCGCATCACATTTGACATGCACTTGACATACAGGCATAGAGATGCATTTTCCTTATGTTGTACGGTATCATGTCATTCATGACTTTTTACACACATTGATATGTGGGCATAGAGAGCTAATTCACACATGCTATCTGGAAAGAAAATGAAACATCATATTTATTGTTGAAAGGATTTTTGGGAATATTGTTGGAATTGGATAGGATAATTGGCTTACCTAGCGGGTTGGGTTAGATGCCATCAGGACTAGTGGATTTTTGGATCGTGACAGTAAAATGACAAATGGTCATCACAATATTGCATGGTTGATTATATTATCAATTACTACTCTCAGTTATTTGTTCCTGATAGTTTCCACAATATTGTTTCTTTTTAAAATAGTCTACGAAACTGCAGCCACTTGGAACCAGATTATAAATCGTTAAAACATGTTTACATTTTAAAAACCTTACATCATATTGAGTGTGCATTGATTAGCAACAGGAACACCTGACCTTAATGAGGACATTAATGGTCTAATTCTGTAATTGTTTGACGCACATTGGTCGGCTTCCAAATTTTCTTGAGTTTCCAGATTAGCATCTCAAGCTGATATTCATGGAACCAGAAAATAGACTTACCTCTTTGGACACTCAAAAATGCTTAGATCAAGACGCAATATACATTACTCCATTTGATACTTCATTCAGAAGCAGTAATTGAAAAGCACAGACTACAAAACAGGAATGTAACTGATAAGCCTCAGGTTATAAACACTTATTCCAGGAGGGCCAAATATAACAAATTAAAAACTTAGTAATTGTCTGGTGACAGTTACTCATGTATTGGGCAGTTTTATCTGGAAAAAAGAAGGCAAGCAGTAGGGGACAGAGAAGTATTCAACAACAACAACAACAAAAAGAAAAGTCTTGGGAGAGTTCTAGCCTCTCGAATGTCTAGAAATCGCATGTCTGCATAATCTTAATAATATGTATTGTGGCTTTGTGTCGCTACTATTGATTTCAGTCATTTTCTATTCAGTCTAGAATGTTATATATATGCTGTAATTTAGGAGTTATCAGTGTTGGAGTGGTTATTCTCAGACTTTGTTGAAGTAGATCCTGTGTTTTCAGTGTAATACATACATTAGTGTTTCTTCCTGTTATTTTCTATTTGTGCAGTAAACTCTATTAGTAACCATTTAAATGTCAGTTTTACAAGAAATCCTTTCAGACAACAAGAAATGACAACAGAAAAAGAATGTCATAGCACATACTAAAGCAAAAGTAAACCTGGTACAAGCTAGACTGGACGAATTAACATTTGATTCTGTAAACTAATATAAGACTATAAATTATACACAAATACATGTATTTTTCTAACAAGAGATGCAAACCTTGATCAACTTCTGCATTGATTTAGGATTGGATCCTTTGGAGAATGTATATTCACTTCCCGATGCATGATCTCTGCAATATGTAGTTTTCAGCCTTAGAAATTGTCATGGTTCCAAAAAGCAAGTCTTCATACACAATGCCAGTGCACCTCTGCTTTTCGGCCATAATCTTGTGCTTTACCAACGGATTCCACCATGAACCGAGAGCAGGCGAAGAGATGCAGCTTCCATTTCAGGAGCATATGACGCAGAAGCTTCAGGGAAATGAGAACACTAGAGCGATATCCAAGAAAGCAAATGCAATGGCATTTGTTAAACCTGTTTCGCTGATGCAATAGAATCTCTATCAAAAATAGTCATCATCAGTAACAACTTGCTAAAACAAGGATACTATTTGTCAATCTGTTCAATTGGTGGAGAAAGGGATTTCTTTCTCCATCAAACAGTTCTCATCAAGAAGAACTTTCACAAATGTGAGATAACAGGATGGATAAGCTTTTAAATTCACTCAGTCTCAGCCTGATAACACAAGAATATAAGGTGAAACAAATGAGTGTCTTCAGCAAATATCGCACTTTATACCAAACACAGAAAAACACTTTTTACAAGGCACTATCGATCACAGATATAGTTGTAACCACAATTCAGACCACTCCTTGCAATCATTATCGGCCATTATGGGAAGAACAGAAATAAGTACATGACTAGTATCTAATGAATGCTTGCAGGCTGCAGCCTTCGTCAAATCATTATGCAAGGATAGAAGAAAATAAAGGCTGAGATTAGATGGTAAGAAATAGACTAAAAGCTCAGTCAGTCTCTGTGAGAAATCCACATCATTGCACATAATGTTGAGTCTTAGGATCTTCAAGTTGATGCTAGATGCTAATTGAGTTGAATTCTGGGTGAGTCACTTGCATTATGCACGATGTTGATAAAGGTGTTAAAGGGGACAAGGTAGACCTAAGGTACATGGAGGAATGGAACACAATGGAAGTAGAGGGTTCTCATAGGTGATACCAAACTAAATACTTTAGCCATTGTTGGTGCACTTACATTGTGTCCATATGTTTGCCTTGAGTCATTTCAGTTGGTTAGAAATTTGTGTCTCAGTGTAGGGATAAACGACACATTATTACGTATCTTGGTGAGACTAACCTGAACAGTGAGGAGTGGATATAGAAGATTCCTCTAGAGAGATTTAAACAGCTAGTACACCTTGAACCAATAACAAAAAGTAAATACGGTAATGGAAAATGCACGGCATCACACTTCGTGCTTTTACTCTCAACCTCACCAGATAATCAATAGAAACGGCACGACATCACCCTTTGTGATTTTACTATCAACCTCACCATTTAAATCAAATAAGAATGGCACGGCATCACCCTTCGTGCTTTAACACTCTCCCTCACCAAAACAAGGAACAACAATGATAGGGAGATAGAAATGACAACATCAAGTCTTACTTCAACATTTGCTTCCACAATATCAACCTCAACTTTGAGTCAATATTCAATCAATATCAAATCCGAACATATGATAAGAACGATCTACCAATCAATAAACTAGTCTAAACATGCATAACATAATCACGGAAAGCTACAATTTAATGAATAAGACTCACTAGCATATTATGACTAAACAACAACGTATAGGTACTCGTCACCTCACCTATACGTTGTACTCAACATTCAACAACGTAGCAAATAGGAAAATAAGACATAATCCCTCAAGCCAAGGTTAACCACGGCACTTACCTCGCTCTGGGGGCCACTCAATGCTCAATTACCGCTTTTCCTCTAGTATCCACCTCCGAACCACTCGTATCTAGCCACAATTAACTCAATAATATCAATTATTGCTAAAGGAATCAACTACAAAACCTGAATTTAGATTTCTCAAACTTTCTCCCAAAAAGTCAAAAATCGACCCCGGGCCCGCTTGCTCAAAACCCGAAGTTCGGACCAAAATTCATTTACCCATTCACCCCGAAGCCCGAATATGCAATTGGTTTTGGAATCTGACCTCAAACCGAGGTTTAAATCCCCAATTTGCAAAAAAAATCCCCAATTCTTCCTAAATCCCTAGTTTTCTACCATGAAAGAATAAAGATTAAGGCTAGAAATTCAATGGGTTATGCTAGAAATTGAAGATAATGAGTTAAAGAGTACAAACCTATTATTTGGTGTTGAATTCCCCCTTCAAATTGCTCCTAGTCCGAGTTCTAATGAAAGAGTTGTGAAATTTTTGAGAAAATCCCGTTCTAGTCTATTTTTAAATCACTGGGCAGGCCTTCTTCGCGTTAGCGAAGGGCCTGCCGCGATCGCAAAAGGCAGCGGCGCAAAGGCCTACGCGTTCGTGAGTCCTCCTACGCGTTCGCGAAGGCTGCTCTCCCCTGGCCTTCGGGTTCGCGAGCCAGTGCTCGCGTTCGCGTAGAAGAACAGTTGTCCCCCTCCCCCAGGTCCCTTACGCTACGCGTTCGCATGATGTCGGTCGCGTCCGCAAAGAGTAAAACCCCCACTGCTCCGCGTTCGCGACCGGGCTTACGCATTCGCGAAGAACAAAAATCACCTAGCTCCAGTTCACTCTTCGCGTTCGCGAAATTACCTTCGCGAACGCGAAGAAGGAAACCAGAAAACACTGAAGCTGAAGAAAAAAAATAGATTTTCTAAGTCCAAGCCTCCCGTATCCTATCCGAAACTTACCCGATCCCTCGGGGCTCAAGACCAAACATGCACACAAGTCCTAAAAAATCATACGAACTTGCTCGCACGATCAAATCGCCAAAATAACACCTAGAACTACGAATTTAGCACCAAATCGAATGAAATTTTCAAGAAAGCTTTAAAACTTCTATCTTCACAACCGGACGTCCGAATCCTGTCAAATCAATTCCGTTTCTCACCAAATTTCACAGACAAGTTTTAGATATCATAACAAACCTGTACCGGGCTCCGAAACCAAAATACTGACCCGATACCAACAAGATCAAACATTAACCAAATTCTTAAAACCATTAGATTTTTCAGTCTTTCAATTTTCATCAAAAATTCATTTCTCGAGCTAGGGACCTCGGAATTCGATTCCGGGCATACACTCAGGTCCATCTTCTATACGGACCCACCAGGACTGTCAAAACACGAGTTTGGGTCCGTTTACTGAAAATGTTGACCGAAGTCAACTAAATTAACTTTTAAAAGCAAAAATTATTATTTTCATTGACTTTCAACATAAAAGTTATCCGGAAACACGCCCGGACTGCGCACGCAAGTCGAGGATGGTAAAAATGAGATTTTAAAGGCCTTGGAACATAGAATCAAGTTCTAAAACATAAGATGACCTTTTGGGTCATCACATTCTCTACCTCTAAAACAACCGTTCATCCTCGAACGGACATAGAAAAGTACCTGAGCTGGTGAAAAGGTAGGGATATCTGCTCCGCATATCGGACTCGGACCCCCAGATAGCTGCCTCAATAGGCTGACCTCTCCACTGCACTCGAACTGAATGATAACTCTTCGACCTCAACTAACGAACCTGCCGGTTCAAAATAGCTACCGGCTCCTCGTAGGTCAAATCCTTGTCCAACTAGACAGCGCTGAAATCTAACACGTGGGATGGATCACCGTGATACTTCCGAAGCATGGACACATGAAACACTGGATATACCGCTGATAAGCCTAGTGGCAAAGCAAGTCTGTAGGCCACCTCACCCACTCGCTCAAGGATCTCAAAAGTCCCGATGTACCTAGGGCACAACTTGCCCTTCTTTCCAAACCTCATTACACCCTTCATGGGTGATACCCAAAGCAACACTCTCTCTTCGACCATGAATGCCATATCACGAACCCTACGGCTGGTATAACTCTTCTACCTGGACTAAGCTGTGCGAAGTCTATCCTGAATGATCTTAACCTTATCCAAGGCATCCTGTACCAAACCTGTACCCAATAACCGAGCCTCCCCGGCTCAAACCATCCAACCGGCGATCGACACCGTCTACCATATAATGCCTCATAGGGAGCCATCTGGATGCTCGACAGATTGCTGTTGTTGTAGGCAAAATCCGCTAGCGGCAAGAACTGATCCTACGATCCTCCAAAGTCTATAACACATGCGCGAAGCATATCCTCTAAGATCTGAATAGTATGCTCGGACTGTCCGTCCGTCCGAGGATGAAATGTTGTGCTCAGCTCCACTTGCGTGCCCAACTCATGCTGTATTGCCCTCCAGAAGTGCGAGGTAAACTGCGTACCTCGATCAGAAATGATAGACACGGGCACACCGTGAAGGCGAATGATCTCACGAATATAAATCTCTGCCAACCGCTCTGAAGAATAGGTGACGGCCATAGGAATGAAATGCGATGTCTTGGTCAGTCTACATACAAAAACCCAAACTGCATCAAACTTCCTCTGAGTCTGTGGGAGTCCAACAACAAAATCCATAGTGATACGCTCCTACTTCCACTCAGAAATCTCTATCTTCTGAAGCAAACCATCAGGTCTCTGATGCTCGTACTTTACTTGCTGGAAATTTAGACATCGAGCTACATATGCAACTACATCCTTCTTCATCCTCCTCCACCTATAATCCTGCCGCAAGCCCTGATACATCTTGGCGGCGCCCAGATGAATAGAATACCGGGAACTGTGGGACTCCTCTAGAATCAACCCACGAAGCCCATCCACATTAGGCACACAAACACGACCATGCATCCTCAAAACTCCATCATGTCCAACCGTAACCTGCATGGCATCACCGTGCTGCACCGTGTCCCTAAGGACAAGCAAATGAGGGTCATCATACTGCCGCTCCCTGATGCGCTCAAACAAAGAGGACCGAGCGACCGTGCAAGCTAAAACACGACTGGGCTCAGAAACATCCAACCTCACGAACTGATTAGCTAAGGCCTGAACATCTAATGCAAGCGGTCTCTCACCGACCGGAATGTACGCAAGACTGCCCATACTAGATGACTTCCTACTCAAAGCATCGGCCACCATATTGGCCTTCTCGGGATGATACAAGATGGTGATATCATAGTCTTTCAATAGCTCCAACCACCTCCCCTGCCTCAAATTGAGCTCCTTTTTCTTGAAAAAAATACTGTAAACTCTTATGATCCGTGAACACCTCACACGACACGCCATATAGATAGTGCCTCCAAATCTTCAGCGCGTGAATAATGGTTGCTAGCTCCAAGTCATGAACTGGATAATTCTTCTCGTGAACCTTTGCCGTGAAGCATATGCAATAACCTTGCAACTCTGCATCAATACCGCCCTAAGTCTAATACGAGATGCGTCACAATATACTGTATAAGGCCCTGTACCTATGGGCAACACCAACACCGACACCGTAGTCAAAGCTATCTTGAGCTTCTGAAAGCTCGCCTCACACTCATCTGACCATCTGAACGGGGCACCCTTCTGGGTCAACCTACTCACGGGGCTGCTATAGATGAAAACCCCTCCACAAACCGACGGTAATAACCAGCCAATCCCAAGAAACTACGGATCTCTGTGGCTGAAGTAGGCCTAGGCCAATTCTAAACAGCGTCAATCTTCTTAGGATCCACCTGAATACCCTTTGCTGATACAACATACCCGAAGAAGGCGACTGAGTCCAACCAAAACTCGCATTTCGAGAACTTATCATACAATTGGCTGTCTCTCAGTGTCTGAAGTACGATCCGAAGATGCTACTCATGCTCCTCTCGGCTGCGGGAGTAGATCAAGATATCATCAATAAACACAATCACAAAGGAATCTAGGTAAGGCTTGAACACCCGGTTCATCAAATCCATAAATGTTGTTGGGGCATTTGTCAAGCCAAATGACATCACCAGGAACTCATAATGCCTATATCAAGTACGAAAAGCTGTCTTAGGGACATCGGACGCCCTAATCCTCAACTGATGGTAGCTAGACCTCAGATCAATCTTTGAAAATACTTTGGCACCTGAAGCTGATCTAATAAGTCATCAATCCTCGACAATGGATACTTGTTCTTGATAGTGACTTTGTTCAACTGCTGATAATCTATGCACATCCTCATCGATCCATCCTTCTTCTTTACAAACAACACGGGCACACCCCAAGGCAAGACACTAGGTCTAATAAAGCCCTTATCAAGCAAATCTTGCAACTGCTCCATCAACTCTTTCAACTCTTTCCAACTCCACCTCTAGTTGTCTGACCCCTACCTCTAGCTGGCTGAGCGGGCGGTGGAACACCCAGTGCCGGGACCATGGCACGAGAACCCTGATACTGAGAATTGCTCGATGCTCGAGGGCAAAACCTAGCAATGTGCCTCGGATCGCCACAAGTATAACAAGATTTCGGCTGTTGTGCTGATGACCTTGAAACTGACCCTGGAGGCCTGAGTAACCACCTTGAAAACTCTGGAGCGAAGGTGCACTAATAGGAGCTGGTGGTGCACTGTAGGCTAGCTGATCGGAATACTGCATATGAGGGCCACCACCACCTGAAGCACCGAGAGAAGCCTGGAATGCTGAATGAAACAGCCTGGGAGGATGGCCTCTACCAAAATTACCCCTGCCTCCAGACGAGGCACCACTGAATCTGCCAGAATGACGAGGTCTCTTGTCAGATCCCTGACCACTTCCCTGAGCTAGAACCATCTCGACTCGCCTGGCAATATTGTGGTCGCCTGAAAAGAAATCTCACTCCCAGTCTCTTTAGCCATCAACAATCTGATAGGCTGAGCAAGTCCCTCAATAAACCTCCTCACCCTCTCTCTCTCGGTAGGAAGCAGAAGAATAGCATGACGGGCCAGATCCACAAATCGAGTCTCGTACTGAGTGACAACCATTGAACCATGTTGTAGACGCTCGAACTGCCTCCGGTAATCCTCTCTGAGTGATAGGAGGATACTTATCAAGAAACAGCTGAGAGAACTAGTCCCAAGTAAGAGCCGGCGACCCAGCTGGTCTGGCCAACATATAATCCCTCCACCATTTCTTGGCGGAACCCGACAGATGAAACGCAGCAAAGTCGACCCCATTGGTCTCCACTATCCCCATGTTCCGTAACACCTCATGACAAATGTCCAGATAGTCTTGTGGATCCTCTGAAGATGTACCGCCATGGTGAACTGGGAAAATCTTGGTAAACATATCCAATATCCACAAAGCCTCAGAAGACATAGCTGATCCGTCACCGGTCTGTGCTGCAACACACGGCGGAACTGCCCCAACTGGCTGAGTTGCTGGAGTCTGAAACTGGGGAGCCATCTGCTCCGGAGTGTGAGTAGCAGGAGTCTAGACTCCTCCCTAGCCCGAAAGACGGCTGGTGCCACAGGAAAGGTGCCGGTTTGAGCAACACTCTTCATAAGGCCCACTAGACAGACCAAAGCATCCTGAAGCACTAGGGTGGCTATGAACCCCTCTGGAACCTGAGCTGGTCCGGCAGGAACAGTCTGGGCTGGAACCTCATCATCAAACTCCAGCTGAGGCTCCACTACTAGTGCTGCTGCTCGAGCTCTGGGCTGAGCCCTGCCCCTGCCACGGTCTCTAGCTTGGCCTCGGCCTTGACCTCGGCCCTTCGTAGGAGCTGCCACTTGGGGCTTTGGCTGCTGCTCAGCTGAAGATACGGTGCGTGTACTCGCCATCTGCAAGAGAACAGAATAGAAGAGTTCAATTAGTAATGATATAATGAAATCGCACGACAGAGAAGAATAGAAGTGAAACTGTTCCTAACTCCATAGTCTCTGGAAGATAAGTACAAACGTCTTCGTACCGATCCTCCAGACTCTACTAAGTTTTGCTCGTGAATTGTGAGACCTAGGCAACTTAGTGCTCTGATACCAACTTGTCACGATCCAAAATTCCCACCTTCAGGATCGTGATGGCGCCTAACATTTCACTTGCTAGGCAAGCCAACGTAAGAGAATTCACAAATCAACTTCAGCCAATTTAACGACGGAAATTTATCAAGTTAAACAGAAGCTAAACAAAATTTACGGAATATCATAAAACCCAAAGTAACTGAAACATTTAGGATCTGGAGTCACAACTCACGAGCTACTAGAATTGACTACATACAAAGTCTGAAAGATAATACACTATTCTGGAAGAAAGAAACGGTCATGTAACAATCTAGGAAGAGACTCCAGGGTCTGCAGACGCCAGCAGATCTACCTTGGTCTCTTGTCGATCAAGTCCAGCTGCCAAACTCGGGGTCAACTCAGGCCAGTACAAAAATCTGCACAGGAAGTGCAGAGTGCAGTATCAGTAAAACCGACCCTATGTACTGGTAAGTGCCGAGCCTAACCACGGCGAAGTATTGACGAGTCTAGGACAAGACACATACATAAACTTGTGCAGTTAAACAATATACGAGCACGATAACAACTAATAGAAGTTAAACAGATAACGGGAGGGAAAAATGCTGAGGGGATTTCAAGATAAAGAATCACAGCAGTAGAGAGATTTAAACAGCTAGTACACCTTGAACCAGTAACAACAAGTAAATACGGTAACGTAAAATGCACGGCATCACCCTTCGTGCTTTTACTCTTAACCTCACTAGATAATCAATAAAAACGGCACGGCAGCACCATTCGTGCTTTTACTCTCAACCTCACCATATAAATCAAATAAGAATGGCACGGCATCACCCTTCGTGCTTTAACACTCTCAACCTCACCATATAAATCAAATAAGAATGGCACGGCATCACCCTTCATGCTTTAACACTCTCCCTCACCAAAATAAGGAAAAACAATGATAGGGAGATAGAAATGACAACATCTTGTCTTACTTCAACATTTGCTTCCAAATATCAACCTCAACTTTGAGTCAATATTCAATCAATACCAAAATCCGTACATATGATAAGAACGATCAACTAATCAATAAACTAGTCTAAACATGGATAACATAATCACGGAAAGCTACAATTTTATGAATAAGACTCACTAGCATGTTATGACTCAACAACAACGCATAGGTACTCGTCACCTCACCTATACGTTGTACTCAACATTCAAACACATAGCAAATAGGAAAATAAGACATAATCCCTCAAGCCAAGGTTAACCACGACAATTACTTCGCTCCGCGGGACACTCAATGCTCAATTACCGTTTTTCCTCTAGTATCCACCTCCGAACCACTCGTATCTAGCCACAATTAACTCAATAATATCAATTATTGCTAAAGGAATCAACTACAAAGCATGAATTTAGATTTCTCAAACTTTCCCCCAAAAAGTAAAAAACCGACCCCGGGCCCGCTTGCTCAAAATCCGAGGTTCGGACTAACATTCATTTACCCATTCACCCCCGAACCCGGATATGCAATTGGTTTTGGAATCCGACCTCAAATCGAGGTCTAAATCCCCAATTTGCAAAAAGTCCCCAATTCTTCCTAAATCCCTAGTTTTCTACCATGAAAGAACAATAATTAAGGCTAGAAATTCAATGGGTGATGTTAGAAATGGAAGAAATTCAATGGGTGATGTTACCTGGCCTTCACGTTCGCAAGCAGTGCTCGCGTTCGCGTAGAAGAACGGTTGTCCCCCTCCCCCAGGTCCCTTACGCTACGCGTTCGCGAGATGCCGGTCGCGTTCGCGAAGGGTAAAACCCCCACTGCTCCGCGTTCGCGACCGGGGTTACGCGTTCGCGAAGAACAAATATCACCCAGCTCCAGTTCACTCTTCGCGTTCGCGAGAGTACCTTCGCGAACGCGAAGAAGGAAACCAGAAAGCACTGAAGTTGAAGAAAAAACCAGATTTTTCTAAGTCCAAACCTCCCGTAGCTTATCCGAAACTCACCCGAGCTCTTGGGGCTCCAAACCAAACATGCACAAGTCCTAAATTATCATACGAACTTGCTCGTGCGATCAAATCGCCAAAATAACTCCTAGAACTACGAATTTAGCACCAAATCGAATGAAATTTTCAAGAAAGCTTTAAAACTTTTATCTTCACAACCGGATGTCCGAATCACGTCAAATCAATTCCGTTTCTCACCAAATTTCACAAACAAGTTTTAGAAATCATAACGAACATGTACCGGGATTCTGAACCAAAATACGGACCCGATACCAACAAGATCAAACATTAACCAAATTCTTAAAACTATTAGATTTTTCAGTCTTTCAATTTTCATCAAAAATTCATTTCTCGAGTTAGGGACCTCGGAATTCGATTCGGGGCATACGCCCAGGTCCCATATTTCGATACGGACCCACTGGGAATGTCAAAACACGAGTCCGGATCCGTTTACTTAAAACGTTGGCCGAAGTCAACTAAATCAACTTTTAAAGGCAAAAAATATTATTTTCATCATTTTTCAACATAAAAGCTTTCCGGTCTCGAAATCAAGGAGTATAAAAATGAAATTTTTAAAGGTCTCGAAACACATAATCAAGTTCTAAAATATAAGATGAACTTTTGGGTCATCACAACGACAAGTTTGCTGGTTTGTTGAATTCCGCAAATACATTGTTATTGTATCAAATATATCTGACACATCACAACTAATTCTTGGTCTCCTTTACAAGCAAATTCGTCATTATAGGTCAGTCATAAACATTCATCAAGCGCCCCCCCACCCCAACACACACAAATCTAAAGGGATAAAGAACAACATTAAGCTATTAGCTAAACTAAAATCCCTTATTTGTGATCAATGAAACAAAGAAAAAAAAAAAGTTAAAAAGGAAAAACATAACCAAGAAGAAACAGCAAAAGCAGGAAAGTTTACCTCCTAGATATCACCAGAAAGTCCAGTGCTTGATTTGCAAATGCTGAAACCAATCTTCTCAAGGAAGCCACCAAAGCCACTGTCATTTTCCCATTCTCCGAGTGGTTTAAAGACCAGATTTCAACGAATTAATCGCCACTAAAGACAGAGAGAAAACCCCGTTTTCAAAAATAAAATAGTAAATCGAAGGCTACTCTTCGATTTAGCTAGGGTCATCCTCTCTTTGACTAATTTTATCGACAAAAATATACACGAACTCGTTCAATTTTAAACCCCTTGAAATATGACTCAACCAGTAATACACACATCGTAGTTTAAATCAAATATTTATACAAATATATTAAACAAATATAAAAGTATTATTTTTATTTTTCAAAATCAAACAGGCTTAAACCCCAGGAATTATTTTACAAATAGCTTATTCCAATATGCAGAAAGTTATTACTAGTACGTAGGGGTGGACATTGTTTGGACAAAATTGAAATTCGAATTTTTTGAATTTTGGTTTGGATTTTCGGATTACAGATTGGATTTCGAATTTAATTTTTAATTTTTTTGGATTTCAGATTGGATATTGAATTTGGTACTTCAGATTTTTGGATATTCGAAAATTCGAAATTCTTATACTTTATATTTAGGCCATTATCCATATGCCAATAGTAATAAGTCCAATACCCTATCCATTAGATATTATCTCATATGTTCAATACTAATTACTAAGTTACTGTCAGAATACTTTCTAGACATAGTTTCACTATTGCTACTTCTTATCGGCATTATTAATGTCTTTGTTGTATTTTCTTTATAATGATTTCATTACTTGAAAACTTTATTTGGATGAAGCAGTGAGAATGAGTAACTTTTTAGGTAACTTAACACGAATACTTTATTTAGATGTTCATTTTTTACAGAAGAAGAAGCATCTAAACTTGTAAGCTCAAAACCGAAAATCCGAAAATATCCAATCTGATTAATCCAAAATCGAAGTTAAAAAATTCGATCTAATCCGAGCTTTTTTGGATTGCATTTGGATTATCATTTATTTAATCCGAAAATCGAATATCCAAACTGAAATTTTCATATTCAATCTGAACTGTCCGACGTCCACCCCTACTAGTACGTGATCCCTTATTAAATAAGTTTCAGCCATTTTCTATTAAGAGCTGTGAGATATACATATTTTCAAAAAAAAAATTATACTCTTTTTTAATCAAGTGAGTGAAAATAATATTTTTTTGTCTTTTTACAATTTCAAAAAATAAAATAAATATGACTTTTCTATTCAGTTTTAATGATCACAATTCCAATGTTGTCAAGGTTTATTCGGTTTGAGTTTAAGAGCCCGTTTGGATTGGCTTATTTTAAGTGCTTTTAAGTCAAAATGGCTTTTAAGCTATTTTGTAGTGTTTGGATAAAGTAAAAAAAGTACTTTTAAGTACTTGTTTTTAAACTAAAATGACAAAAATAACCAAAAGCCAAAAGCTAGAATTCCTAACTTATGGCTTTTGGCTTAAAAGTTACTTACAATAAGCCCATCCAAACGGGCTCTAAGTTATTATACGTTGTACATGTCAGCAAAAGAATATTTACATGTAAACTTTCTTAAAAATATAAGATTTGTAATCTTGATATAAGATAAACTCGATGTCTGAAATGATATTATATATCCTACACCATGTACAATAATATAGTAGTCATTTTCATTGAGTCTATGGTGGACCACATCCACTTCAAATGAAACACATGCATTATTATTTGTTGGTAGCAAAAGCGAAAGACACCATCTATAGTAGAATTTACTTCAACTCAATTACTAAAAGCTTTTATTATCCTTGTATCACCTTCAAAATGAAGCAAATTCAAGAGGTCCACACTCCACTATGGTTGAAGAAAAGGGATATACACATACACCATCAACATCTTCACCAACAAAATATACTCTCCCTCTATAAGAATCTCCCTGTTGTACTCTTTCAACGTACCAAACTTTCTACTTTACAAAATGGTTTCTTTCCGTAGTTACACTCTCTCTATTTCCTACTTCCTAATTTTCTCAATCCTCTTTAGTACTCCTTCACATGGAGCGTTTGTTGAGGAACTTTCTGATAATCTAGCCATAAAACGAAGTGAGAAAACGAGCCATCTCCATTTCTACTTCCATGACATTGTCAGTGGAAAAAATCCTTCTTCAATCAAAATTATATCACCAGGAGGAGATGGAATCTACGGTTTTGGAAAAACTTTCATTTTTGATGATGCATTAACAGTAGGACCTAATGCTACATCCAAGGTTATAGGAAGAGCACAGGGGATTTACGCCATCGCTTCGCAGAGTGAGCTTGCCTTGCTTATGGTTTTGACCTTTGAGTTCAATGAAGGCAAGTATAATGGCAGCAACATAAGTATACTTGGGAGAAATTCAGTTCCCAGAGATGTTAGGGAGATGCCTATTGTGGGTGGCACTGGACTGTTTAGGTTTGCTAGAGGTTATGCATTGGCCCATACTTTTAATTTTGATATAAAGAGTGGAGATGCTATTGTAGAATACAATGTGTTTGTTCAACACTTTTGAAGTATTTTGAGACTGATTAGCGCTATAGTTAAGAAAAATTGTGCCTAGAGCTTATATAAATAAAGTAGCAGTCCCAGGCGCAATTATTTTTTATTATTCCATCCATGGCAAGCTATTAGTTTCTTTTTCGCTTTTCTGGGTATTCTAAATTATTGTCTTCTTTTAATCGAAAAGTTTTATTCCTAATGATCTTTCAGCTCTTTCCTTTTCTATGTAATACGCCGGTTCTTCTCGGTCATGCTTGGTAATTGTTAAGTTAATCTTCTCCCTATCTCTTTCACTGAATCTTCTCCTTTCCCTAATAGTTTTAAGCCAATTTTTTTTTAAAATCTATATGTTCCTTCTCTTTGCAAAAATCTTGTCCAACAGAAGGGACATGCTATTCATGAGATGAAAATACAGACAAGTTCGAGCTGCCTCCTTTTGATACCCACACAAACAGCCCTTCCCCTGAAAAAATCAAAGAGAAGGTTAAGACAGAAACAGTGGATATCAGAATGGGCACAGTTTATTTACATTTATAACATTTAGTTCTTTTACTTCTATACATAATTCGAACTGAAAGCAGTAAATTTAACTGCATTGGTTGCTGATCGCCTAGGATCCGTACATGAGGAAAAGTTGCCGGTGAGGGCACAAACAGCAAATGCTTGGAGGTGGTACTGAAGGCTTGCGGTTGACTAAACCACAAAGAAAGCAAAGTGCAGTTATTCTTCCCAACATTTCAGTGATCTTTCCACTTAGTCCTCCATTACTGCATATTATTTGTTTAACCTTCCTGTCTCCATGTATTAATTGGACATATGCACTTGAAATTTATTCCTTTTTTTCTCTTTCACTTCTCTTCATTTCTACTACCTTTGATATGCAGCTAACCATAAACACAGGAATGAAGGTCGGACAGCTCAAGAATATTAAGCTTAAAAGCAAAACTAATAGTAGCAGTTGATAGAGAACCTACAACCTTACCAGTTAACAAAAAATCTATGAACTTCAAGCACAGTAGATAGAAAAAACTGGTCAAATTAGCCAGCGAAACTTGGTAATGGACAAAATCTGATAGGAACGAGGACTACATAGTTTTAGTCTTAGTATACCCGTGGATCAAACTAATTTTTGAAGGAAGTTGCAAAAAGCATTTGTTAGACTGTGCTAAGTAGTCATTCGCTATTTCCTTCCTCCAGGCATTTCTCTATGCTTCCGTACCAATTCCACTGGAAGCATAGGCCAGCAACACGTAATATTCCAGCAGCTATCACTTCGACAAATGCCATCAGGAATGATCTTTGAGGAGATAGACCAGCAGTTGCTATGGAAAGCAAGAATCCCTCAAAGTTGCAGGGGACAGTAAAATTTCCCGATTTAATGCCATTCAAAGCTATCTTGGCAACTTCGTCAGCTTTCATGGCACCAGAAGAAGCTGCTATTATACTAGTCACCCGTGGCCTTCTTTTGTTCTCTGCAATAACGATGAGACTTTCATAATTGTTGTTCAAACGGGGGAAATACTGAAAAATAGATGGTAAAAGAGTATAACCAAAATTATTCAGCCTTAAGCTGATTATCAGTCAGGTAAGCTGAAGCACCTATCAAGTACATTAAACAATGTGTGCATACCTCAGAAGCAAGGGCACTAGGAGTATCTAAGATTTCATCTCAAATGCTTTGAATGGGATGGGTGCAACACCGACAGTGATGATGATGTCTCCCAAGGTTCAATATTAGTGCATGCATTATCTCCATGCGCACTCTTCATATTGTTTCTTCTTCTCTCTTCTTTCGGATTGGTAAATAGTATACTATTACATAAAATAAAGAGAGCACCAAGTAGGTTCACACAAAAAAATGCAGCAACAGGTTACAATGGTTAAATGAGAATAGAGACAAAACTGCAAGACTGAAATATGCAAATAAGAATAGAGAAGTATCACAATCAAAAAGTCATATAGAATGGAACTCCTGAACTCGCATAAGCATGTCAACACCTTGACCACATTCTTCTTACTAAAAAGAAGCAGAAGCAATACACATTAAGCTTCAAACTGCTCTAGAGCTGTACTATCCAAATAGACCAAACGACACTCCAATGCAGCATTTAACATCCTGTCAGGTTCTAGGAATCCTCATGCCATTTCAAGAAGATAAAAGGCAGAAACAGATTTTGCATAGCCAATTGAATCACGATAAAATGTACTCCATTTAATATGTGCAACACATCATGAGCTATATCTTTATCAAGGAGCAAATATTTTCTGGTTCTGTTCCTCTAGGCATCTATAATAAATTGACTAATCAATTTGTGCTATCCCATGCTTACAACTAACAGTTCTGAGTAATTGGTTAAAAGACCAGTGCTATCGTCTTTTTCATTCTCAACTTGCTTGATCAAACTTCTATGTGCTCTATAAAAGGAGATAAAGAAAAATGAGACTAAAGAAAAGGATATACAACTAACATATCAATTTAGATTCAGAGGTAAATCTAGTATTTAGAGTTAGTGGTTTCGGAGTGGATATGGTCATATTACATTTTAAATTTTTTTCATGAGACACAAAATAAAAATTTTCGAAGATTACTATCTAGTTAATCAAGATTGTGGTTAATAATATATGAATTATTTTTAGTTAGATTTAAAGTTTTATGTATTAAAATTTAGTATACTATATAACGTAGCTTACGACGGGGCGTGCTAGTATCCCTATGGCCTAGCCAATTTTGAAATTT